CGTCAAATGTATTGGAAAGTACTCGCCAGTTGAAGCTCTTTCATCCTATATATGATTGTGCTGGATATAGTATGAAAAGTCCAATGGGCCAAATTACGGTCTTATGCGCCCCCGTCCTTTCTTTTTTCTTCATAATAGTCATAGTGAAGTTCGTTTTTTTTTTGTTATTAACAGTAACACAAACCATGAACTATCTAGCTAGAATCTATGTAAGTTGTGTTGAAATGTTGAGTGCAGATATTGAAATATATTCTGGAGAGATCTTTAAGAGGAACAGCTGAACTATCTCTACCTCTCGTTTGATAGCAGCACTATTTGAAGCATTTTCAACACACAAAATTTTACATTGAAAAAGAACAAGTTAGATTTCCTTAATAAATTACAATTCCATAGAATTAAGTTCAATCTTTTCAGAATTTTTATTCTAGAGCCTTTATCTTCTATATGCTCACTCAGTGGTAAAATTTCAGTTTACTCATTTATATTCAGTTCGAGAAACAGAAGTAATAAATAGAAACGGCAAGCAAGATGGTTTAACAGTGTTCGCTGTTCAATGATAATGTATTATCGTAAGCGAGCAAAACGACTTTCTCAATTATCGAATTAATCATTAACATTTGAGTAAACCCATTGATCAACTTCATTACACAACGTTGCTTACCATCGATTATCTTCCGATAAAATTACTCCAAAATATGAACACTAGTAAACATTATATCCATTAATGAGTCATTTTTCATTCCGTGAGTGTTGAAACAGCACAAGCTACATAGTAAAAACAAGACATATCTATCGTTTATCGTCGTCTTCTTAATACAATGGCTGCTGAAAGTGTCCACGTAAGCAAAACCATATATATACTTTTTTTTCTTGAATTCTTATTTTCATATATATAATTTGTATTATGGTCATCCATAATGATGTTGGTGGTTTAGATAAAATGTGTTAATCATGATGCTCGTATTTCTATTGCTGGTGAATATGCCATACCAAAATTAATTGAATCACATAAGTAATCAACATATTAGGGAAATTTAACGTTAGTTATAGGTTGTGTTTCAAGTGCATCAGCTAAGCAGCAAACAAACGACAATTATTGGTTCAATTTTAAAGCTTGGTAAGTTAATTAAAAATACCAGTGTATATAATTTTCTTTACATAGAAAAATAAATGTTCTTTTTTTTCTAGCTGAAATCCCATATTGTATACTAGCATCATGAAATAATATTCAACTCGGTAAATTAGTGTTAGTCATTGGTAGAGCTACAATTTTTAATTGGTTCATTCGTTGTTAAAACGAAAAAATCACGAATTACTCTGTAATCTAGCATTGTATTGCTATATTTTGTTCTGTTTTATAATATTTTCATTTATCTGTGTTAGTTCGGATTGTTTATTACATTCAAACACTAAAACATATATCTTTTGTTTCAAGTTTTCAACAAGAAAGATTAGTATGAATATTAAACAAACTTAATATATAGAAAAAGAAAAATGAAATATAATCAGAAAACGAAAGATTAATTGAATGATGATAAATACTGGTATTTTTACACATAAAAGAAATTTCTGAAATATTTTTATAATTTGATTGAGTAACAAAATAAAGCGAATCTAATGTGATAAACATATATTTTAAATATATTTATTATCTTAGTTGTAATTACATTCGAAAATGACTCGAGTTAATCAATCTTTATATCATAGATAAAAGAGCTAAATGATTGAAAACGTTCTTATTGGTATTCGTGATTTTCTTCAATCCTATGTCATTATTAAATATACATTATGTTGACTATTTTACCTGTGATCATTGAAATACTTATGTACCTGAATAGATTCGTCAAGGAAATAATTTATTAGAAGAACTTATTGATGAATAGTTGAATGGAAAAGAAAAATTGAACAAATTGCAGTTACCCATGAAAAATTAGAATAACAGGTTTTACAAGAAATCCACAAAAATGAACCAAAATCGTACAAACATACAGGTCGAACGTTTATGAATCAAAAAGAAAAACAACAAGTAGAAATTTTCGTTCGAATTAATAACCAGTTACTTAATATGGCAAACGCTAATCCCACAGAAATCTTATCAAAATATCAAAAAGAAATATATTTTAATATAAAATATAAAGCAATATCAACTATTGTTGATAGCAAAACAAATTTTCAAAATTATTTTATCGGACATATACTTGTCACTCATCATCATTTCTTATTTCTAGTTACCATGCATGTGAATTAGTATTCGGTTCACTTTTATCTAAGAAAAAATGATTTCACATCCATTCACAAGTATTTGTATGAATTGCAAATCAAAATGAGAAAAAATTGTTTTAGATTAACGTAGTGAGACTGATCAATGTAGGTTTCTATTGAGTCATCGATGAATTCGAGAAAAAGAAACAAAATTAGATAGAAATACAAGAATGCTTGTTGTTCAATCATTTGAAAGGAATAAAACAGATCAAGTGAATCTGACTAAGTTTAATCGAAAAAGATTATTTCGTTTTTCTTGTTTCACACAGACATTAAATGCTAGTTTATTATCCATACCTACACCGACACCTTCATTTACAGCTACACCCGACACATCCACACCTAGGCAACCTAACAATGTCATGTCCTTCAGTTCTCGTCTCCTCATTCATTCTTTCTTTCACTCAATATTTATTATCGTCCGTTGTTGTTGAATTTCACTGTCAAATGATGATTCATGATGTTCAGTTGTTGTTTGTTCTGGCAAGATCCGACTTTCAATTAGAATTTGCTAAAATGCGTTAGCCATGGTCGACCTGCAACGACAAACTGGATTGGTATCTTACCGCTGCCCTCGATAATGATGTTTATTTAGGTACTTCACACATAACACACGCTTATATAGGAGAGAGAAGAAAATGACAGAAATGAGCACAGAAAAGAACAACAGAGAGAGTATTAAGAGGAAAGGAAGATCAGTGAGAGTTTATATCAGTATCGGTATAAAGTGCTCTGAAAACAACGTGAACAAGCAAATGTGTAATCAAAAGAGTACTGTTATTTTGTTGAGCAACATGCAAATCTGGCACCATTCAAAGCTGTATCATCACCTCCACGAACATCCGGCTCAAATTTTATTGCAAATTCGCAAATTGCTGTTGATTGTGGACATTCAGCCCATGATCTCCAATCGCTCCACGGCGCTCCATTTGATGCTTGAATTGTTTTTCCACTCGTACAAGTAAAACGACTATAATTAGCAGCTGCATCATCCCTACCGCGTTGGTCTGATTCAATCTTGAATTGTACGCTTTGCAAATAATTCTGTGGTCCAGAGCAAAACGTTGATTCACTCCATCCACCCCATAATCCATCATATGATCGAATTCTTTGCACCGCGCTACCATGATGATCTCCACAAATCAGTTCCAAGGCATTTAAAGCTGTATCATCACACTTGCCACAAGGAGCTCAACACGTTGACTGCACCGATTGCCCATGTATTCTGGGGACAAAAGGTCCAATGTTTCTCTTCACCCCATGGACCTCCTTCTGGCATAAGTATTGCTATAGGAGCACGACCTATAAATGTTTGACGTTGATTACGGTTAAATATACCAGCTTTCTCAATTGAAAGTTTTTAAATTTTAGCCAATGATGCTTCACGTACTGTTGCTTCACTTTCTTGTTGTAAAGTAGACGAAACAAAATCTCCATCGAAAATAATCATAACAAAAAGGAAAAGAATGAAATACATATTATTTCTTTATGATAATGCTAAAACGAAAAAATAAATGTGTTCATCGATACTATGAATTGCTTTCAAGTAGAAGCAACTTAGAAT